ACTGCGTACGCTACAATTCTTCTTCTTCATCAGCCCGTGACAGGCCACTGCCGGATGTGGACTTCGCCTTAAATGTCACGCTTGGTTCGTGGATTGCGGATCACGGTGCTAGACGTCATGCAGCTTTTTGGCGCTGCAGCCTGTCGTCGGACTGGTATTTTACGCCTTGTACAAAGGATGCTTATACCGCGTTTTATCACACTTAAGATTTTTCTGGTGTTTCTTAAAGTCGCGTCTTACGACACCACAGAATACCGGCGTAAAATAGCAACTGAATGCGGCCTATGATTCATATGGTGAGTGTAGAGAACCGGAGAGCCTTTTCTCTGGAAACAATAATGATTACAATGCATCTGCATTTTTGATTCTTAATTGAAAATAGATAATGTCTTTGTTATTATCATTCTTTATTTAAAAATTATTTTTATTATTATTAGTTTTTATTATATAAGAGGATATTAAGGTGTCTATGGGCCGCAGCATCTACTTGCCATCAGGTGGGTTTCTGTAAAAGAAGCAATGATTTCAAAATGAAGGAGGAGGAAGGCCCATAAACATTTTACTCATAACTTTTTCAAACAAACAAAAGTAGCGTATCTGTCATAACTCATAATACAAACGTCATATTATCATAATACGACGTAACCAGGGTCGGATTTCGTAGTATAATTATCCTAATTGTACCATTATTTCATAGTTTATAGTATGTAGTATCGTAATAATAAGCGAAATAACCATAATTTTACCTAAAGGTTGACTTGTATTATTACTGGGTCCTTTTTCTTTTTAATATTAACCCTACAATATCGAGAATTTCTGTATTATACATGAGTATACCATATACCATACATACATTACATATTTTTAATAAAATTAGAATTAGCTCCCTTTCTGGTCAATCGGTACTCGATCGATGCAAATTGCATCCTTGGTAGAACTATAGTGAGAGGCTACTACGATAAAAACTCTATGCTCCAGAAGCAATCATTTGAAAAAAAAATTTCAAAATATTTTATGAATCAGATTTTCAGATTCAATTAAGCACATATGGTTTCTTTTGTACTCTTTTCATTTTACCCTTATTGAATATAAAATATATTATGTACCAATATTCAAAATTTAACTTACACTTGCCATTTGTACACAAACAAAGTTAATAGATAAACTAGACGCATGACGCCAAAAGCCCGGCACGTGGGAAAAATAAACATGAAACGTCAAACGTGATATAATTTTTGAAAATAGTATAATTTTATTTTCCATGTACAATATTTTTGAGGGTCTGAATCCAAGCCTGGCCTAATCTTGGTAACGTAACTAAAGTAACTGTAAAATAAAACTTTAAAAATGCGTTTATATAATAATTTAATTGTAACAAAATTAATATAAGGTTATTTACCGATAATGCGATATCCCATGTTCCTATTTAAACTTTGTATCGTAATTTTTGCATCCTTTTACCACGCAACTAGAGATATTTATGACAGGCAAATCTGTCCTGCGCGCGCATCACTGTCGACCGAGTCGTTGGGCCCTAAATTTTGTGATTTTAGGGCCAGCGCACTGGTCCGATTTAGTTGAGTGGTCGGCCCGGGATTTATTACATCTATAACAGTCAATAAAAGTCCACTGCTTAACATAGGCCTCCCTCATAAATTGCCTCTGAAAGGATTTTGTCAAAGTGCCACCGTTGCAGGCGGGTTGGGTGTTTTTATAATTTTGACTTGTTATCGGGTAGATGCTGCTGGTGGGTAACATTCTGTTTCAAATTCCCTCTGTCGCCTCTTGGCGACACGCACAAGATATGGGGGTGGCCGATATTCTAACACCGCCATTACACGGCTAAGGCCTCCCCATGGCAACACTAATCATTAAATAAGACTATTATTGATTTTAGATATTTCCTATGTGTTGGAGTCACTGAGCTGTTTCACGCCTTTTAAAATGTAAAAGTAAAAAACATTGGTATTTTTTTATTATAATATGATGTCTTAAATTAAAAGCTTAGAAGTAGTATTCTTTCTTTTCTCAGCCTTTTCCCCCCCAAAAAAAAAAAAAAGCTTTTTTTTACCCACAGTCCACCTGATGGTAAGTGGTTGCTGTGGCCCATAGACATCTACATCTATCCACGATTACGAATCAAAACGCAGATGCGTTGTCAACCGTGCGGACTTAGATGGAGTGCCTCATTTCCAGTAAAAAGGGTCTCCGGTTCTCTACACTCACCATACGAAACACAGCAGCATTAAGCTACTATTTAATGCTGGTATTCTGTGAGAGCGTGGTACTTTCCCGGTACCGACCCATTCGTGCACACACAAATATACTACTAATATAACTGCAGCATGGCTCTACCACGTAAAATCTGAAACTTGATTAGAAAAATTTCATTTATAAAATGTCTATGTAAACTTGCAGTAGGTACAAAGACGGGCCTCGACCGCATGAGTCATTCATCATGAGTAAACAATGTATGTTTAATTTTCATTTAATATAAGTTTTCGGAAGAATTCGGAAGCAGAGTTTTAAAATTCTGTTTGTCGGAACAGGAACAGGAATCGGAAGTGAAGGCAAAAGAGATAGATGTATCAAGGGCACATCTAATATAATCAAATTGCACACATTATTCATCACAAATATATTCGGTAGAAAACTGTCTCGCCTTAACTGATAATTCGGCACTATGAACTGCATAAGTCGTCTTAATTGAATACCTTCCACGAAATTGAAGGTAAGATCTTGCAAAGTAATCATTTCAGGGAGTAGCAATCATTTCAGCGACAAATAAACTTGTTCGTACGCGCAGATAGCGACCGCCACCGCCGCTATGCATCGACCTCCGATATAACTTCCGATTAAAATTTATCGGGACGGAAATCGGAATCGAAGGTGCAAAATCAATCGGAAGTTCCGACCTTTCGGAATCGGAATCGAACCTTTAATATCTCTACTATAAAAGTCGCTCAGAGTAGAGATAGTAGCGATTATCGCCAGTGAATTTAAAAATGTTGTCAACAAATAATTATTGGCGGTTTGACTGAAAAATTGAGATTTCAAATGCCCCTTTTTATTAGTGTTTGGATTGTATGTCAAGGCAAAAAGCTTTTGTTTTATATTTTGTATATAAGATATTTTTGTGTTATAAATACTAATGTGCAGTAGAAAGTAAAAAAAATTGAACAGATTGCTTAATACACAAACCTAAATTTAAACTAGGCGACCACTAGTAGGCATCTAATCTGAGTTTAAAATATCACTGACCTTATAAAAGACCGAATACCTAGACGAGCGCTTTGCGGTACCTAATCACTGTTGCGTTTGGAATACTCATTGAACAGTGAAAACTTCAAACAGTTTATTTTTTACTTATTAAACTATATTTTTATTTTCGATGAAAATTTAAATTTCGCTTATTTTAAGTCTTATTATAATTTAAAAAAGAGGTTCTCTTGACCGGATAAGAAACGTAATAATTAAAAAAGGGTACGGAAGTCGTATAAGGTTTATCCTTTTTCATCAGTGACCGTCAAAATACCAAAATATATTGTTTTTTTTTGTAAACAAAAGAAAATTCACCGGCGTTACTTTGAAAGTATTCTTATATCCTTAATCGATTATTCGTGTTAGTTTATTCGCTTGATACATTTAAAAACGAGGATATCCTCCGTAGAACCTGTGTAGCTGATATAGCCCAATGTATTAGTAAGCTAAAGTGGCAACGGGCCGGCCATATAGCTAGAAGAATTGACAACCGATGGGGAAGAAAGGTTCTCAAGTAGCAGCTTCGTACCGGTAGACGAAGTGTAGAGAGATGACCCGGTAAGACATGCATGCAGAAAGTCAATGGATGCAGATGGCTCAGGACCGTGCTTTGTGGCATTTCTTGGGGGAGGTCTATGTTCAGCGCTGGACTTATGAAGGGCTGTAATGATGATGATCATATCCAATTTGATTACCTCACCGTTTAACTTGTAATGTTATTGATGATGTTTCTCACATTTTGATATAATGTGTCCAGAACTCCAGAGAAACAAATAATTGTCCTTGATTTGTAGTTGTAATAGTATTTTATCAGACCCGTTGTCAAATGATGCCAAAAAACTTTATTTGCTATAATTAATGTCAGTAATTAGTTTATTTAACAATTTTTGTTGTTCTAACTACCAAGTCGTCATAATCGCATCAGCGAAAAAGCCCTTTATTTTAGAATTAAAAAAAACGATATTGCTTTTTTTTTGTAGTGTTGAAAATAATGATGTTTTTTCATGAACTTTTTGTGCGCTAAATATTCTATCAGTATTAAGTATTAACCACCTCCGCCTAATTGTCGTTGTGTTGTTGCAGGTGAGTCGCATGCCCGCTCGCCGCCGCCTGTAAGTTGTCTCATAGCATATCACCATTGCACTACTGAAGCTGTCTGTCCAACAAGGTGGCGAATACATCGCCATCGGCCGAAGGATTCTTTTTTTATAGAATAAGGGTGTTAGCGAGCACACAGTCCACCTCATGGTAAGTGAATGCTGTGGCACATAACACGAATGCGTTGAGCTGAGCCCATTCGTGCTACAACCATAATATAGATTCATCATGGCTCCACCACGCGTTAAACGCATGTCCTTTTGTATGCACCGCACCTCATACTACCTTACCACCTGATTGTTAGTGCGGCCAGATGTGCAACAAGCTTGTTTGGCTTGCTTTATTTATCTGATGGTCCTGCTTTGTTGAACAGACAGTCACACGTTTATCTCATTCACTGCAATACCATGAACATTGTTTTATAGTTGTGATTAAAAAAAGTTTGTAGGTTTCTGGTGTATTATTAGTGATGTGCCGGGTATCCGTATCCGCGGATATCTGAGGGAGAAGAAAAATCCGTATCCGTAACTTTTTAGCAGATCTTTTACGGATCTTTTAGCTTATCAATTTTCAATACGTAGATGAAATTCTATAGGCAGCAATGCAAAACTATTAAATTTCTTTCAGATTTTTTTTTAAATTTAAGATTCTTGAATTATAATCCAAGCATCGGCATCAAGTTGTGCTATTTTATTATTAGAAGAAATAGCAAAGCGATAATGAATGCTTGAAGCAATCAAGTTTTTCCAACATATACCTAGTAGCTGGAATTCCAGCGTGTCGGTGAGCCTTGCAAAACTTTTAAAACTTTTTGTTGAGTCGAATTTGAATTTTTCTAACTCTTGCTTTGCCGTTATGGAATGGTTGTAATGTCCTGCAATTTTCTTACATTTTTTAAGTAACTCTGAGATTGTATCATCTCTTTTATTATCTTCTTTAACCATGTGCCAGTCGATATTATGTATTTCAGATAAATAATAGGTGCGCTTTATTTTTGATCCCCCGTCTCTCACCACACAGTGCATATTTTGTTTCAAAATTCCCCATTCTTTTAACATACTTAGAAATATTTTTGAAATATGATCTCCCGTGTGACGTTTTTTAAGAATCTCCGCTTTTAAAACGATAGATTTTCGTTGAAAATCTTTGGTAACACCATGACATGTTAAGGATAACGATGACACTCCTGATGAAGATTCTGACCAGATATCTGATGTGAAGTAAACTTTTTTTTATAGAAGAGGGGGCAAACGAGCTTGCGGCTCACCTGATGTTAAGTGACTACCGCCGCCCATGATCAACCGCAACACCAGGGGAATTGCAGGTGCGTTGCCGGCCCTTTAGAAAGGAGTAAGCTCTTTTCTTGAAGGTCCCCAGGTCGTATCGGTCCGGAAAAATCGCCGGTGGTAAACTATTCCACAGAGAGGTTGTACGCGGAAGAAAACTCCTTTTGAAACGTACTGTGGTGGACCGCCAAGCATCCAGATGGTGTGGATGGTATCGGGACGTTTCCGGCGTAGTGCGTTCACGAAATTTGGCGGCTGATATTAATCCGAACAATTCCTCAGAGCACTCTCCATGGTATATGCGAAATAAAATGCAATGAGATGCAACATCTCTTCGCAGTGCCAGTGAATCGAGCCGATCGGAAAGCACTCGGTCGTCGACGATTCGAGCCGCTCTGCGCTGGATGCGGTCAAGTGGAAGGAGCTGGTACTGGGGAGCTCCAGCCCAGAGATGGGAACAGTATTCCATGTGCGGCCGAACCTGCGCCTTGTAAAGTTGCAGGTGGTGTGCCGGCATGAAATACAGTCCCGCTCTGCTGAGCACGCCAAGCTTTTTAGAGGCCAATTTGGCCTTCTCTTCCAAGTGACCACGAAACTGCACGTCACTCGATATGTCAACGCCGAGGATTCCGATACTAGCTGAGGCAACAAGGGGAGTGCCTTGAAACTGAGGAGATACGACAAAGGGGTTCTTTTTAGCGGTTAACGCGCTAACTAGATTTATTCGCCCCCAATCCGAGACTGTTCAGCAAGGACTCGACTTCAGACACAAGTTTGTCCCGGCACTCGGAGACGTTTTCCCGGGAAATATTGGCTCGGCCGGTGTAAAGAGCATCACCAGTGCTGTCATCTGCATAGCAATGAATGTTACGGGTTTGCAACATATCATTGATATGCAGAAGAAACAACGTTGGCGATAGCACGCAGCCTTGTGGAACACCAGCATTAATAGGCTTGCAATCGGAGCTTGCACCGTCTACAACGACCTTGATGCTCCGATCTGCCAGAAAGCTGGTGATCCAATCGCACAATTTCTCGGGAAGCCCATAGGAAGGGAGCTTCGAAAGAAGCGCTTTGTGCCAACCCCGATCGAAGGCCTTCGCAATGTCCAAACTAACGGCCAATGCCTCCCCCTTGGACTCTACTGCCTTCCGCCCATCTGTGAGTTAGGTAGACCAGAAGATCACCAGATGACCGACCACGGCGAAAACCGTATTGGCGGTCACTAGTCAGCTGGTGATCCTCAAGATACCTCATGAGCTGGCAGTTTACAATGGACTCCATTGTTTTGGAGAACAAGGAGGTGATGGCGATAGGTCGGTAGTTGGACGGGTCTGAACAGTCGCCTTTTTTAGGGATCGGGTGGACGAAAGCCGTCTTCCATGATTTTGGGACTACGCCTAGGGAGTAGGAGCACCGGAAAAGACACGTTAAAATCGGTGCCAACTCTGGAGCACACGTCCTCAGCATAATTGGGGGGATTCCGTCAGGCCCACTCGACTTATGGATGTCCAGGGAGAGGAGTGCTTTGCGAACCGAGCGCTGTGTGAACTGAACTTCCGGCATGGAGCACTCACACCGCGGGATGGTCGGCGGCGTACTCCCCCCGTCATCGAGAGTCGAGTTGGACGCAAAGAAAGAGCCGAGAAGATCGGCTTTCTCCTTTGCGGTATGGGCCAGTGAGTCGTCCTCCCTGTGCAGAGATGGAAGAGATGGTTGACAGAAATTCCCCTGGACAGCCTTGGCGAGAGACCAGAATGCACGAGTTCCAGAAGGAAGGCGAACTAGCTTCTTGCCAATTCTGCCTATGTGCTCTGACTTTGCCTTAGCAATGACTCTTTTGAAGGACCTAGAGGAGGAATTATACTTCTTTTTTATAGCGCTGGTGTTTACATCCCGGGACGCTGATGCGTCAGCCCAGGCTTGGTAGCACTCCTGCTTATAGCATGATGCTATTTTACAGGAGCGACCAAAGCATGGCTGAGACTTGCCTCCACTGGGCACCACAGAGGAAGGAATAAAAAGTTCCATACCCTGAAGTACCACATCAGCGACGGAATCCGCAACAACGTTGGGATCGTCCGGCTAGAAGCAAACTCGCCCCCAAGGGTAGGATGCAAAGAAAGACCGCATCCCATCCCAATCGGCTGACCTATAGTGCCAAACACGGCGGCAGCCTGCAGAATGCGACTGCGATTTCAGCGTGAGTAGCACCTCACTCCGGACAAGACAATGGTCCGAGGAGCCTAAAGGGGCTTCGACGGAAATCTGATATCCGTCAGGGTGAGAGGTCAGCAGAAGGTCCAACAGGGAAGGTGCATGATCCTCCACATCTGGAATCCGCGTAGGCGAAGTAACCAGTTATGTCAGACCATATGCCAAGGCAAAATCATGAACAGATCTCCCCGAATGATGGGTTAAACGTGAACCAAGCCATTCGGCGTGATGGGCGTTAAAGTCGCCAAGGATCACGATCTCTGCGGAGGGGATCTGCTGTGCAACGAATCTGTAGGACGTGGACGAAGAGTCGGTCTGTTTCGGCATTACCGCTATGGGACCTATGGCACCCGTAGACGCGCGGATGGTCGTCGCTGTCTACGCGTAGCCAAAGGATGGACAGGTCCGAACCTTCAAGTCTACCGAGGCGTCGAGAGCAGATGTCCTCTCTGACGTAAACGCAAACTCCAGCCCGAGGCACAAAGGAGTGTTCCAGTTTGTACCCCGGGTAGGAGAGATACGAGACATCAGCCGAAGAAGACACCTGCGTCTCGGTCATAAAGAGCAGAGCCGGCCTTGCCGTCTCGAGATAGTAGTGGACGGCGTTTAGGTTAGAGTGAAGTCCCCTGATATTGCAGAAATTCACGGACAGCGTGGCAGGGGTCGCCTTGGTCTTGTTGCTCCGTTTGCCCCGAGCAGTTGTAGTCTTGAGCGGAATTTGCCCCTCCCCCCCTCTGAATACGCTGGGCAGCCTGAGTACCCACGCTCAGAAGTGGAGAATCATGGTCGTGGATGCTTAGCGAGGGATTCTCCAGGGGTGCTGGTACCCTCCTGGGGTTGTCATTATTTAATTCTTAATTCCGCTACCATGTTGATGGGGGGGGGGGGATTTGGGCCTCCGGCCACCTGCACTCACCAGACGAAACGCCGAAGCAGAGCTTCCACTTCACGCCGGTATTCTGTGAGGTCGTGGTACCACCCCGGTTTGAGCCGGCCCATACGTGCAACAGCAAAGCTGCCGCGTGGCTCTACCACTGTTATGGCTCTACCACTGTTAAACTTTCTCAAAATACTGTAACATGTTTTTGTTATTTTTGATAACAACTTTATTGTAAAGTTCGCTACATAGATGGTCCGTAAAATATTTTCTTCCTTTTAAAACAATTTGGTATAAAATGGTCCATCAATGTTTGGAAGCTTTTGAATTTGTAGGTGAAATAAACCAAAACTAATGACAATTTGGGAAATATGTATTCTGACCTAGTGACCCGTCCCGGTTTTGCCTAGGTTGTATATATTAATGTGGCGTTTCGTAGATTTCGGATAGTTAACGACCATTGATATAAAAATATTATGTTATATATATATATATATATATATATATATATATATATATATATATATATTAAAAAAATGATTACTTAAGTCGTAATGGCATGTAAATAAGTTTTATGTTAGTTAAGTTGCATGCATTGCAGTCATAATATCGGGACACTTCAGGTCGTTGGGACACCATTGTTGATAACAGTGACATGTGCCGCGGTATCGGGACGAATGGCAACCCTCGTGAATAGTCGCTCAGCGTTCGATTTCATAACATAAATAAAGAGGCGAGATCACTGTGGTGACTGGTGACGCTTGCTTAGCCCCGACATTTGCCTTAAGTTCCGTAATTAATGTAATGAAATGTTACACAATGACGGAGTGCTGGCTGCGAGGCTGTGACCGCTTGGACGACATTTAAGAGCGTTCGAAGGTCGACCACGTCACCCAAGCTGGTAGCAATACAATACAATATCATTACACCGTGTAGTTGCGGTTTAAGAATAACAACAACCCATGTCGTCCCGTAGGTGTCGTAAAAGGCGACAAAAGGAATACTGAAGTAGAAAATGAACAGAAAAGTGGGGTTGTCAACTCGCTTGTCAAGCGTGTCACTTTGGTTGAAATCTCCATTCAGCCGTTGATGACTTTGAAAAAAAAAAATAAGAATATTGACCCAAAGCAATATATACCTTAACCTGAACATAACAATACCACTTTTCGCCTTCACAGACTGTCTCTTTTAAAATTAAACAAATTGAACTCAAACAATAAACTAAAGAAAATGAAGTGGTAGATGCAGTAAATAGGATATATATTATTTAACATTGTATACATCCATTATTAAGAGCTTTCTCAATGTCTTCAGGCAAGGAGTTCCAAAGAAGTGTAACCTTAACAGTAAGGGAGTTGTTGATAAAACCACTGAAGTGTAGTGGAACTGTAATTTTTAAATTAGATGAAAAACAAAGAACTCTTATCGTGATTAGAGAATAGATATTGAAACAGATATTTGTATTTTGAGAAATCTGGATTGACGTTTGTTCATCTATTAGACTCCAGACGCTGCTAATGTAAAGAGATCGGATTCTCTATGCGGCATCGCCTTCGGTCTTCCAAGAAATGCAGGATGTTTTCTTCCGACGTATTTTTGTCCAAACGGGAGATGAAGAGTTGTATGGTGGCCTCCACAACATGCAGAGTTGTACTAGCGATTATTTTTGCGGTCCCAC